GGAAGCGGCGTGCCTCACGCGGGCAGGGCTTATATGCTCCGAGAACAGACACTACACTAGTGATACAAAACACACAGGTCTGTTAAGAGCAATAATTTTAATATAGACAAATTATTATTAGGCTGGGCTACTGTACATTCTTTAATGGCTGCCGTATTCGCAAGTATTTTCCAAGCAAATTGAGTGCACATTTTTATCATGTGTAAAATTACTGATTAACATGGCGGATAAAAGCAGATATTTCTGATTTTGGGACTCATTTTTTATCTGATATTTACTTCGTTCGGTAACAGGAAAAAATGTCTCTTGACGTGGAAAAAAAAAATAAACAGAAGGCGACGACGGTTATAATATCAATAAGCGCAAATGTTTCCTCCACAGTCCAAACTCTCAGACATTTATTTCTTTTTTACATTGAACGTAGCGTAGCTGTTTATTTAGCTTGGGTTAATCTCATCAGCGTCAGTGAGCCAATAAGCCTGCAGCACTAGCCTGTGTGTTCGACTAGAAGAGGTGCGGCGCAGATCGATCATCCGCGAGAGCGATTCGAAAGCGCACGGAGCAGTCTGCTCTCTTTAGCTCTCGTGGTACTGTAATACACCGATCAGTCTGCACTTTATGGAAAAGTCAGCAGGCCATATGTATGCAGAGAGTGAGACTGGCTGAAACTGATGCACAAGCTAAAAACTGGACTTGGCCTTAAAATCACCCCTTTGTTCTTAGAAGCTTAATACCTTTAACATTTCCACACGTCTTGTACCAACGTATTAGCCTCTGCAAGTGGATAGACTAAAATTATTTGCCTTTTCTCTGTAATCTAATCCAGAGCCTCTTTGCACACAAATGGATTTAACATTGCTGTTTTTTCTTCTCCTGTAAGCCGTGTCAGTTATTATATGCTGACTTTGATGTTATATTGGTGTGTGTGAATCATTTATATACCTTCTTTTGTACTTCCAGTTGTGTATTTTTCTAGTAATTGAAACGCTTTTTGTATATTAGGCATGGATTTGCACCATTAACTAAAGCCTCAAATAACCTGAACCGGCTGTGTGTGTGTGTGTGTGTGTGTGTGTGTGTATGTGTGTATATATATATATATATATACACTCTGATATTATTTTGGTGCACCATAGGGCTGGGCGTTATGACGTTACCGTGAAATAAAGTGTCTATCGTTAGAGATTTTGCTATATCTTGTATTCCGCGGTATGCAAATTAGGGCTGCACGATATTGGAAAAAACTCGCATTGCGATATTTTATTTTTCTGCGATTATACACTGAACAAAATTATAAACGCAACACTTTTGTTTTTCACAGCTGTGAGGTGGATGGATTATCTCGGCAAAGGAGAAGTGCTCACTAACACAGATTTTGTAGACAAAGCGTAGACAGACTTTGGGGGCCATTCACGTGTCGCGCCTAAAACGCATGGGAAAATGCCAGTCGTGCCGCTTTCTCCTTTCCAAAGCGCTCGGGAGCTTGCGCTTTCGTGGCGTCTGCTGTTGCTAAGCAACGCACATCGCGATAACGATGCTGAAACAATATATCATGCAGCCTTAATGCAAATATATCTGCGTAACACAGTACTGCTTAAACTTTATACACATTTGAGTGCTAAGGAAACATGCATGAATGAGAAAATAAAGAGTGGGGACGTACTTGGTAGAGTTAAGTGCAATAAGCAGTGAAAAAGAACTCAATGCGGTGCTCGCGCTGACTGACACACAGCCGAAGCGCATGCACTGAAAGCCCCTCTCTCGACAGCATGCAATCGCGAAAACAGATCTCTTTCGTGTTTTATTGTGCTTGAATGGTCAAATACGCACACAGTAATGTCATAATGCCCGTCGTGTGGAGTATTCAAGTAAACACAGTCGGTTATATGTTAAATATATGTAAAACAGTTGGGTGAAAACCGGATGCGTTTCAGTATATGGATCCGTGCAGTCGGTCTTAAAGGGACAGCAGCCTTATTTACCTGCTGCTGTCTGTCATTATTAATGTTCATCATGTTTGATGATACAGTGAAGACTGCAGGGTTTTATTTATACACTTTATTCAATTTCTGTAATATTTCTTACTACATGTTAAATAAACCTAGCCTACTGTAGCTGAATAAATTAAAAGTTTATTTCATATTTATTTGTTCTGTTGTGCTTGTAATTTGCTGCTTTTTCTTAATTTTAATAACAACAATAAAATAAAAATACCTATATCAAGGTACATATCGTTATCGTGAAATAAAATTTCTCATACCGTGAAATAAGATTTTGGTCATATCGCTCACCCCTAATGCACCATAACTCTGGACAGTTTACAGATCAGCATTGTCTTGTTGAATTACTTCAATGAACCTGATGTTCAACAAGGTGCTTTTTCTGCCAACAGGTAGTCCAAAGGATATTTTATAATGTAAACCGCTCATGGACTGGAAAAATAACATGCTCAGAACTCAGGAGAAGTAGTTTTCTACAGGTAAATATGTTAGGAGTCTATATCTAGGACTGCAGTGGACATTTGTCAATTAATTTTCATGCTAATTGATAAATGTAATTGTAACTAATGTAAACAGTAGGGCTGGGTATCGTTCAAACATTTTCGATATCGATAACGATACCTTGACTTCGATACCGGTTCCTGAACAATACTTTTTTCGATACCAATTTTATGAAATCAATTTTAACAACATTGCATTATCTAAATAGAGGATCATTTTTTAAACAAAAACGCACCAGTGTAAATGTAGCCTTATATCTAAGAGGGCTGGGACGCATTCACACTACAGCCTCACGTGTGCACCGTAAACCGTAAATAAAAGCATGTATGCTCCGTATACAGTATTTTGATATACTGCTAGTTTTTGGAACCCAGCCCATATTAATATTATTTTAGATTAAAGCCCCGTTCACACCAAGAATGATAACTATAAAGATAACGATAAAGATATAGTTCTAAAAATCGAGCTCGAGAATTTAAAGCGGCAGACGAGCGTGCACTTAGAATAAACAGACGATATCGTTCGCTGGTGTGGACTCTAATACCGTTATCTTTATAGTTATCGTTCTTGGTGTGATCGGGCCTTAATTGCTGATTTAGTATTAGTGCCCGAACGATATATGTTTTTGGGGGCCGATACCGATATTAGGGAGTAAAAATACACCGATATCGATATATCGGCCGATATTCTTTGTGTATATTATAGTACAGTACCAGTCAAAAGTTTGGACACTTTCCCATTCGTGTGTCCAAACTTTTGACTGGTACTATATATAGAATACAGTATATACATAAACAGAATACAGTATATACATAAACAGAATATATATATATATATACATAAACACATTTTTTACAGTGATCACTCAAATGTGGTGATCAAACACTTATAATGGTGACAGAGATATATGTAAGGGCATTTAACAATTTAACAATAAACTTGCGATGAGTGCGATGCACAAAGTAACGGGGTGTTAGTTATATCTGCGACAGGCTCATATCGGCCGATAAAATCTTATCAAACCGATATATCGGTCGGGCTCTATTTAGTATTATTATTTTTGTTATTGTAGACTTAACATGATTTTCTTGAAAATTAAGTTGTTTTGGAATTTATCATGCTGATTTTTCTAAAATCAGGCTGGCCTATCTACAATTTAGGTGACTAAGTTTTTCTGTGGTGTAATGGTGAAAATGTTTCCCAACAGAATGTGGCACTACTGGAAGAAGAGGAAGAGATTAACCAGTTGACAGAGTTCTTCTCCTATGAACATTTCTATGTCATCTACTGTAAATTCTGGGAGCTGGACACAGATCACGACTTGTACATAGACCAGAGAGACCTGATGCTACATAATGATCAAGGTACCAGTCCACCCGCTGCGCCCTTAAAGGTCCCCTGAAATGCTTAGAAACACGCAGCGTTACTCTGTGTTGACGTCATTTTAACTGAAACAGGAAGACAGGGCGGGACATATCAAGTAGCCCCACCCCTTTTTAAAATAGCCAATAGCGTTCGTTTATATCACAGCTTGGGCTAGACCCGTTGAGCTCCGTAAAGCCGAATTCAAAAAGCTCCGATACATTTTGCGGTCTGCGCCGACTCGTGCATGTGATCCGCTCCGTGCTATCGTGTCTGTGCCCATCAGAGACGCTCTGTAGTAAATCAGCGGCATCCAGCTCTCCTCTCTGTTGTTGATGACCTGCTCACCAGCAAATTTCTGCAAATAACTGTAGCTGGGGAAGAGACGACCGGTTTAGAAAAAGAGATTAAGATCCAAAACTGCAAGATGTCAAATGCACAGAATTCATTTATTTTTTAGCTTGAACTTACATAGTCTTCTTGTCCGGTTTGAGCAGTTTGCTGGAGAATTCGCTGAGGATGGTGAGGTATGAGATGTATGGTGGAGAGTGTTTCTCAGACTGCTGAACGAACCCTTTGAAAACAAACTCAATGCCATCCCTGCACAGAGAAACCCACTTCTTTATTCACACTAGTAAGAGGACACTTCCTTTTAAGACCTGAATATTTCTTCTCCTGTCCCTCTATATTTGAATCCTAATATAAGACCAGAACTACAGCTGGCAAAATTTCTCAGCCTTGAAATAACCAAAGATAGGACTCTTATGTACTGGCTAAATGAAGCCATGCAGTGCAGCATCTTGATAAAACTATTTTTATTTGAGGACGAACATAGCAATCAGTCTGTTCTAGCTGTGTCACTATGCCAGACATCAGACGTGACCTCGCTGACACGGAGTCAGCCGGGTGGACTGTGGTACCTGTGGATCATGGCCAGGGACTCGCGGGATTTGATCTGGTCCCATCCAAAGGTGAGTGAGAAGCGTCTGGCCAGCTCCTTGATGCTGCTGTAGGTCTGAACCCTGGAGCTGCAGGTGTTTCCTCTGTCCTGCTCCTGTTTCAGCCTCAGATACAGCTGAACACAGAAAAATTGTATGTCCCGGTTACATTATTGTTTTCACAAGTAATCTTTAATCATGGAGCAGCTTACACTTTGCTATTGCTATTGATAGTGTAGTATTCTAATTAGATTAACATGCCATGTTTAACATGGATACACTATGGTAATAAGTCCAAATTTACAGTGTACTAGATATCAAAGTTTTAATATATACAATGTACACATTTTAGATAGAAATTTAGATAATATATATGAACACTGCCATTCAAAAGTTTTGAGGTCAGTAGGATTTTGTTTTTAACTATTAAAGAATAACGGAAATTAATACTGGAGTAATGGCTGCTAACAACTCATCTTTACCATAACAGGAATCAAATAAATTGTACTTTTTATATATTAAAATAGATAATATAATAAATAGAAAGAGGTATTTTAAATTATAATAATATTTATTAATATTACTGTTTTTATTGTGTTTTTGATCAAATAAATGCAAATGCAGCCTCAATGAGCCTTAGAGACTACTTTCAAAAACAACAGTAATGTACATGTTTTTTTTTTTATATTATATATTTTTTAAATATTGTGTTTATGTATTTATAAAATGTTTATATATATATATTTATTTGATCCCCTGCTGATTTTGTAAGTTTGCCAACTTACAAAGAAATGAAGGGTCTGTAATTTTTATGGTAGGTTTATTTTAACGTATAGAGAGAGAATACCAACCAAAAAACACAGAAAAAACACATTATATAAAGGTTAGAAATTGATTTGCATTTCAATGAGTGAAATAAGTATTTGATCCCCAAGCAAAACATGACTTAGTACTTGGTACAGAAACCCTTGCTGGCAAGCACAGAGGTAAGAGTTTTTTTTGTAGCTGGTCACCAGGTTTGCACACATCTCAAGAGGGATTTTGATACACTAGTCTTTACAGATCCTCTCTAAATCCTTAAGGTTTCTTGGCTGTCGTTCCATGACCTATCATGGAGGTTCTTGTCCAAGATTTTACAATACATGGCCCCATCCATTTGCCCCTCAATGTGGTGAAGTCGTCCTGTACCCTTAGCAACAGCCCCAAAGCATAATGTTTCCACCTCCGTGCTTGACTGTAGGAATGGTGTTCTTGGAGTCATAGTCAAATTAATGAACATTTCAGTTGTATTGCTGTCTATGGGAGGGTCAGACAGCTCACAGATTCCATCAAAAATATCTTAATTTGTGTTCCGAAGATGAACGAAGGTCTTACGGGTTTGAAACAACATGAGGATGAGTAAATAATGACGGAATTTGTATTTTTGGGTGAACTATCCCTTTAAGATCATTAACAAGCTCCTCCCGTGTAGTTCGGGGCTGATCCCTCACCTTTCTAATCTAATGATCTGTGTATGTGTGTGTGAGCACTGCTTCCATTTTCCATTTCCTTCCTCAGCACATGATCTACCATTAAGCTATTCAAGGAGTGGAAGAGCTGCTAGAACATTCCACACTGAGCATGATGGGATGGTGGGAGGTTGGATTCATTGTGTCTCTGAGGTGTCGACAGCTGCAGGGGCCCATCAGAGAGCAGAGAGCACAGGGGCCTGGGACAACCGGCTGAGCAGATGTGCCACGCAGAGGCACGTCACATGAGAGAGAGCACTGGTGAAGGACTGCAGCCTCCATACCTGCTGAAGGCATTGCACCAGTGTGCGTGCGCTTTCCATCTTGTCCATCTGCCGTGTCCTGTTCAGGGTCTCTTTGATGATGTCGCCGAAGTCATTGTAGTACTGCAGGGGAGATATGACAGCAGTGAGCGATACAGGCTGTGAAGAACGCTCAATGTGGCTCCATGTCTGCCATATGGCTTCACGCCTAGGAATGTAAGCCTGTGGCATACTGAAAGCACATTACCCATAAGTCTGTCTGGCCAACAGGATAAGACTCTGGAAAGTGTAGCCTATTAGTCATGAGAGGTTTAAGATTTTTTTTTTAACTTCTAATATGGTGACGATTATGCTCAAACATGCCAAAATACCACACATATATCATGCAATGTATCATACTCCACTTCATGACTTCATTATTAGAGGAATATTCAGGGTCAAAAACAATTTGTGATGTTAATTATCACATATAATTATTTATACTAGTCCCTCAAAAGAAAAAGTGACAGTAATGCACTTCTGGACATCTATGGAAAAACAAGTGGCATCACTTTTAAAGCAATTAGATGAATTCTTCTTTAAAAGAACTGAGCTATATAAAGAGTTAACATGTGTACTTGTCCAAATTATCCTGCTGAGGATCACCTCTGATTTTAGGGTTTAAGTTCAATATACATTACCATTCATAACTTTGGGGTGGGTAAGATTTTTAAATGCTTGTAAAAGAAGTCTCTTATGCCCACTAAGGCTGCATTTATTTTTATCAAAAATACAGTAAAAACACTAATGCTGCTGGTGTTTTTTTTTTTTTCCAAAACATGTCTCTGTTACTGAAAACTCATACACTGAGTGGCTTTGAGACTTCTGCCAGTTAATCCAGTCTGGTGCAGTTTATTAAACTCAATCATGAACCCAGCCACTGACTCACCAATTTCCAAACAACAACCTTCATTTATTACCATCTATTTGCTTTAATACATATACGAAGTGGTCTAGTTTAATACGAAGTGGTCAAGAAATGTGCCAATGTCGTACAGTTCAGAGAAGTGACCACTTGTTACCGGGAGGAAGCTGTTCAAATGAGAGGTTTGCGGCGTTTGCCGTCTTTACATCATTTGCCTCAACTTTGAAAGCTGTCGTTCAAAATGATGGCATTCAGAGTGAGCGTGTGTGAGTAGTTTTCTCTTCGAAGGCCTCATCAGAAAGAATGTTGCTAAGAGAATGTTGGCGGCTCTGTGCTGGCCGAGTCAAGTGGGCATTCCAAACATGTCAGCATGTCAAACACACACACAAATACACAAACACACACTGCACTGTAACTCCCACTTATCGTAAATTCCAAGCTGAGCTCCAGTTATGAAAAGAGGAGCCAAATGAACAGACCACCTCCTTCTAATACTTATATTAATCCTAATACGCTAAATAGATTTTTTATATACTACTATATATAGAGAGTAATATATATTAAATTATTAATTGTTGTTTTGAAATTTAAAAAATACATTTGCTGTGAACATGTGGAATGCATGTTGTGGTGCTACTGCACCAAATTACAGTGCTTATCTGTAGAACTTGTATATTGAGGAACAAAGTACAGATTAAATATAAAATGACTTCTGAAACAGATCAGAGTGAGAGAGGCAGGAAACTTGATTGATGAGTGAAGTGTCATACCTTCACATACTGCTTGAAAACCTCAGCAGCCATGCTCATCTCTAGTACACTGTGCACTATCAGCTTGCAGTATGCCGCCAGAAGATTTCTCCGCCGGTGCAAGTCTTCCAGCCGTCCGTCTCCAGACTCACTCTCACTGACTGCGCAGACAGACACAGAGAGAGGGGTTGAGATTCAATAAGAGACCGGTATAATTATGATACTCAAATCTTATAAATGAAATGCTTTCCTGGGGTGAGCTAAAGTTAACAACATTTTCTGCTCTGGAAACAGAATGTGTCTGTCGTCGTCCTGCCTGGTCCTGAAGCCATCACTTAATAGAGAGGTTTCATAACAGCATTAGTGACGTGAAGAAAATCCAATAACTAAATTGCTTTTTATTACATGTTACCAGCAAAAGCTTATATTGCATTTTTCCAAGAGGTAAGGAATTTGCGCCAGCACGAATCGACGACTCTCTGAAATATTTATAGAATTGATACGATTTGCTTCAGTCACACTTGATTTCTAATCAAATACCCCAAAATCTGATGTTATCTCATATGCTGCTTGTGTTTGTCTTAAAGCAACACAAAGGCCAAAAACTAGTTTAGGAGAGCTAATATTGATTTTTTTTTCAGCACATGTAGTCATTTTGTATATGCTTACCAAAGCTTC